CAACTCTTGCTTGAGTCCCTCAATCTTTAGATCCTGAATTGTCGCTATTTTCAGTAGTTTATCCTTCGGGATTTATTTAACAATCCCACTTCTGACACCATTTGTTACGATTATCCTCGAAGCCTTGAGGGATTTCCCAAATATACTCGGGCTCGTATCGCTGGATTGTTAAATAAATGCTCACGATGACCAAATTGTAGTACAATTAACTTTATTGTACAACAAACAATTCACAATACTCGCTAATACAGTAAAAACACTCTACAATACTTGTTAAAGCAATAACAACGCTTAACTAAACTTGTTAACACAATTAAACTTATAGCTTGCTTATTCGCAACTCACTTCTCTGCTCACTTTACTTGTAGCTTGCTGTCTTGTAACTGACCCACTTCGCTGTGGCGGCGCCCATATATACCTGCGCTCGTACTTATGGCAACTCTAGAACGTTCTGAAGTTTATCGCTCATTCTCTTTCTCTCGCTGTTCGCATTGTTCATCCAACTTGACGTTTCTCTTTGTGGAACATCCTACGTCATTCCTCGAACATTCTGCCTATTTCTCGTTTTTCGCTTCGCGTTGCCGCAGTATTCGTCACAATATTTAATGAGTTTATAAATTAAAGAGAGAAAGTACAAATTTGCGTGCTTTATTACACAATGTTACAAAAAATAATGAAGTAAAAATACCTGGTAAGTCATGTTATTTTTCAGGGTTTTGTCGAGTGAAGTAAGAATCGAAATACGAAATTTTTGTCAAATTGCCATGGTATTAACTGAAAGGCGTTTGTGTAGCTATCACACCGCAAATAGTATCGCGTGTCGCATCGCATGTCGCATCGCATATCGCATCGTTCTAATGTGCACTACGCGCATTTCATATCGCATCGCATATCGTATCGCACTAATGTGCATCGTGCCTAAGAGTTGCTGCTTTTAATATTGCGCTCACTTACATACATAAAAACATAGTAGCAGGGTTTTTATGGGTAATTATATACATACATATGTATGTACATACATAAATATGCATATACAAATGTAAGTGCTAACAGCAATGTTAGTTGCTCCTTGTGGCAACATAAACGACTCTACATACATAATTGCCCACATTATTTCTCCATGAACTGTACATACATATTTGTTTGTTAACATAAGAATCAACATTACATTGCTTTTCGATGTATTCTGTACGAATTAACAGCAGAGGGCGCTCTCAGCGCTGTTATGTGGGCATGTATGTTAGATTCTATAGGATTTTTAAAGTCCTCCAGTTCCATTTTTTTTAAGTATTTAAACTTTTTTTTGCCTAAGACAATGAGAAGCGCATCCAGAACCCATAACCGAAATTAAAAAAAAAATCGGTACAGCCGATCTCGAGCTTTGCCAACAGAAAAAAACCGTCTTTCAAAATATATATTCGTACATATAGATAGATATAGATGACAGGGTAAGAATGTTACTCATACGCCATGTATGTATGTACTATTATTGATAATAAGTACCCTGCAAGAACAGTGACAATCATATGACCGGTAAAATGACGGACAATCCTGATAGAAATACTCGTCATTATAATATATACGCATTATAATATAGCGCAGAATACTTTGTATGAAAGTTTCCATCAAAATATTAAGGGCAATGTGCAAAATTTGATGGAAAAAATCGTATACATGTGAATCATCAATGATATAAACGTTGGTCACAAATGAATAATCATGCTTGATGGGATCTTAGGTCAGTATTGACAAATCATACTTGCTATAAAAGTTAGTCAAATATGACTGATCACAATTGATGGGTTTTGACGTCATATTAAACAAACATGAGCTTTTTTCTGCTCATAGCATTACTAACATTTTTTGTTTAATTTCAAAAACTTTCAATTTCATTTAAAATACTTATCCTTGATTTCTTCGCACTTTCGACCGCGTCCTTTCGCTTCTAATATTTTTTAATTGTGATTTATAATAATGAACATATTTGTTTTTCTTGTGAACCTTTGCATCATCAGTGACAATCATATGACCGGTCAAATGTTAGTCACTGAAAAAATTCTTATTCTGTCAGCATTGTCAATCATATGGCAGGTAAAATGATTGCCACTGTTCTACCCTACTCGACTGGCATATACATTTTTGCATATGTGTTAGTTTTGTTTGTGAATGTGTTGGAGTTTTAGTCATTCGCGTCTTGTAGGGTAATTTCTTGACAAATATCAACACAAGGGTGAGCCGAAATACTCAAAGCGAAAAATAAAACACAAAAGAAAAAAGAACAAAAGTCTGGGGAACGTCCTGCTAGATAACAAGGCGAGAACAAAAGTTTTGAAAACTTAACGTTAAAAATGAGCGTCTGCGTGTTCGGTGGAAAAGTTTTTTCAGTGATTCTCAGATAATTCTAAGCCAGAGGAAAGCTGGATCATTTCAACTTCCAGGTCGTTTATCATTATAGTGAACTGTCCATTTATGGAACAATTTGTCATTTTCTGTGAAATAAAAGTTCGTGTCTTAAGTCTTTCGTTAACTTTATCTGCATAGCTAATCAGTTCTTTTTTGATTAACTTTAATATTCAAACATGTGAAAGTCATGGAACGCTATGAGATAGTTCAGAGAAGATTAGTTCCTTTTTCGTTCTCTGTAAGAAAGTACCTGGGACTTTAGCTCCCAAATTGGTCTTCGAGAGAAAGTTCCTTAGAATTCTTTTCTCGTTTTTTTACTTTACCAAAACGTTCAGGAGAAATTTGTTAGCATTTTGTTCTCTTAGAAATGTCTCCGAAAGTGTTGTTCGCTTTGGTTTTGACGCGTTCTTGGGAACAAAACTACGAGAACGACATTTAGTTTCGATCATACATTTTGTTCTCGGTCCCTGTTTTAAAATATTCATATTTAATACTCTTTAAAATATACATTCATACATACATATGTACACATGCATGTATGTATATGCATTTACTAAAATTAGAAGGTTGAATTTAAGTACAGAAATTAATGTTTTAATTTACCTCTCTTGTCTGCGTCTACTCAGGCTAGCGGATTGGTTTACATAGTCGCGTACATTCTGGACAAAAAAAAAATATATTAAAAAAATTTTTCTCACTGAGAAAATATTTATCCTCACCAAAAAGATTATACAAGAAGCTTTAGGTCGCGTTACCCGGGTGTTTTTCGTTTAACCGGCATCAACATATGTATATTACCCGGGTACCGGTCAAATCGGGTAATATCCGGCTAGCCGGGCTTCTAGTACATTTAGACCCAGTACTGGTTCGCGATAAATCTCTTTTGAATGCAAACAACTGGCGAATTTAACTTGGCGATGTCCTAGGAAGTGTCAATTGCCCCCCGTTGCATCCCTTTTTCGACAGTTCCGAAATATTCCTAAATTCAGTAGGTCCGACCCAATTCTAAAATCGACAGACGAAAGAAAAGAGTATCGTGATTTTTCAATCTTTTTGGCCATTTCGTGTGTGCGATTTTAAATTACTTTCGAAGAAATGTGTTTCCAATTTGAAATTAAATTTGTTTGAATGATTGTAAGAAATGTTCGTTTACATACCTTTGGATGTAGCTGAGTTTGCAAAGGCGTTTGCTGTTATTGGTTATATTGCAGAAGGTCTCAAGATGTGAATATGAAAAAGGATCAGCGAAGTGCAGAATGGAAGCATATTTGAACGAAAACGCCGCCAAAAACATATCTATGTAAAGTAAACAAGCCCCCGCTGCATCCCTTTTTCGATAGTTCCGAACTAGAAGTTCTAAATTTGACAGATAAGATCTAGTTCGTGCTACATCCCTTTTTCTATAGTTTCGAACCAATTCTAAATTCGTCCCCTTAAATATAGATTTCTAATGGAAAAAGTGAAATAAAATAGTTTTTTAAAAGTACCACATTTCGCTGATTTTGGACTGGTGGGGATTTAGTAATTATCGGACTGGTTTGTTTTTGGAACTAAAAATTTGATTCACTAGTCCGGGGTACCCTGCAGGGTATGTACACCAAGCATGCGGAGCGGTCACAACACACGAATACATACATACATAGTACATGTTTATCTGTAAACAATATAACTAAAATTTAAAAAAACAGAATTATAGTACACAAAATCAGAAAAATACCCAATTTAAGCGAGTATAGCCTAGGCAACACTAGTTTGCCTGAAAAGCGGGGCTAGCCGGTATTATACGGAGCAGTCCTCTTTTTTATTATTACCTTCCTTTTAACTATTAGCTCGGGATGTAACTATGTAATATTGATGCGCCTAAAAGATGCAACGATTTCTATTCTCATACCTGATGACAGTACGCATGGCAATTATAATAGGGAGGTTTTAGTTTTTTAAACTATAATTTTATTGTCAATTGTCCTGGTAATTTATTTTATACGAGATACGTTAATAATTATTGTTCATATACGAAACTACGGAAAAAATATTTTGCTGATTGTATCTTCATGAAGAAACTCCTACTAAATAAGAAGGCTACCATGAGAATGTTGGGAAAGTAAAGAAGGTCGCAAGGATGGTAGGGAAGTGGAATCCTTCAAAGGTTCGCTTTGCAATTCAGCTCGTTCCGGATGCTATTCACTGCATTGCGCTTGGCCGCAAAATTATCCGTTGAATACCACTCGTGCTGACTACTAGCTATGGAAAAATATTCTACAAATGTGTGATGTTAGAAATGAATATTTATGTGCTGTTTTTACAAATATTCGATAAATCAAATAAAGATGCTGTTTCAGGGCTAATAAATCTGGGATCATTGAGAGAGGTTTTAAAATCTAGCTTTTGTGGAAAAAATTGTCTACATTATTGTTTGCCCCGTATGCATAACTACTTAATCGTGCAATAATGTTTCAGGGCTATACATTCGTTCTAGGATTAATATAAATCCAAATACGATAATACCGTATTTATGTAATTACATATTCATATCATCATCCACACAAACACACATATGGAAGTACATACAAATATATTTTCACTTTGAAATTTTACAGATATTTGACGCTAGCCTGAACGACTGGCGGGTACTAGATGAGAAAACGCATACCGATGTTATTGAGAGAATCGTTGAAACGCCCAAAAAGACAATTTATGTAGACGAGTATGTAGAAATCGAAAAGAATGTAGAAATAACGGAAGACAGTGAAAATGTTACCAATAAAAGTACTAACACATCAAAGAGGAAGGACATTACCACAAATGTATACGATGAAGTTGATGAGGTTAGGAAAGAAAGGCTGACTTCAAATGACTCAAAAATCGTAAGACTGTCAATTTAATGAATGAAAAGTTAAGTTACACTAATGTATTTGTATATTGTAACAGCGTGGAGTCGATAGAAAGGAATCATTTGGTTCAAAACATACGGAAATGTGCATTTGTGAAATTTGTACGTGTGGGTAAGTGTCACCAACAATGGTAATTATTATAAATGTGGCTAAATACTAAAATTTGCTTGATCATTGTTTAAAAAAAAATATTGCTACGTATATTTACATATGTATATGCAGTATATATACACACATAAATGCATATACATAAGTACAATACATACGGTGACCAGGTTTGTGAGGCCAAAAAGCGGAACTTATAAAGCATCGAATCCGAACATACAATTTGGTGTTTAGAATAAAAAGACACAACGTTTTTTAATACAGCTTTATTTAAAACAAAACAAAGAGAATAAAACTTGAAAAATTATATGGAAAATACATGTTGACGAGTTTTGGCTACCTTCGTTTGTTAAAAAACGTTTATTATTTTTTATGATAATAGGTATAACTTACTAGTTAAAAAAAAAACATGTACCAAAATCAAATATTCAAGTTTTGTAGAACATTAGTAGATTTTCTAGGATTGTTCAAAACAATGCAGTTGTAGTTTTGCAGCCCATTCAATTTTGGTATAATAAAGTGCAAGTGTGAAGTACCTTGGACTTACCGCTGATTTTTTGGCAATTTTTTGTTCGCGCATTTTCTTCCATCCAAATAAATTCCAAAAATGTCTTGATTGGGGAAAATGAGCAACACCTTCCAGGATCAGTCCAGCGCCCTCGTTTTGACCTGCGGGCTATGTCAGGGCCACAGGCGCTGATATTATTAAGATAACATTCAAGTTAAAAACGGCACATGAAATATTCGTTTGGATTGTATTGAATTGCATTTAATAAATCACTATGAATTGCAAAATATTAATAATTAGTAGGGCTCGGAATCTCATATACAGTAAGTAAAATATGCAATTAAAACATATTTTCCTAATATGTTACTGCCAGTGCAAAAATACTAAATAACACATGTATTTTAACAAGAAAATATCGAAAACAATTCACTTCGAAATATTTATGTATAAAATTAGTTTATAATCTAGCAGACAGTTACAATTTTGAGTGAATAGAAACAATGACAGTTTAATAGTGGTTCAGATGAAGGTTTTGTTGGTTTAAGTGGTGACAATCAATTAGCAAGTTTGCTATTTTGATTCCAGAGCTCGTATAACGTACAGCTATTTGGCGGCTTTAATGAATTTCAGTACGTCATACAGAGATAAGCAGCTGCACTCTAAAACATTCTGCAGGAATGGCTTGCCGATTGTCTTAAGCCTCATCCTTGCGAGGGCTGGAGGTGACAGGTAATAAGATCAACGGAAATAAGGTGAATTGACCTTATTTCCCACCTTGTTGTGAAATAAAATCAATTGACATTATTACCTTTTCAAAAGCGAAATAAAATCCATTGACATTATTGCTCTTTCAAACATTAAATTTTCTTAGCTTCGCGGCGGCCCACGTCCGCGCGCCACACCGCGCGAGTCGCAAAACCGGCGCGCCACGACCAGTGTTACCGTTGTGCGACTAAAGTGTCAAATTGACACTTTTTGGAGATCGATGCCCCTGACACCGACTTTTTAAAAATAGGCTTATTTTGAAACTTTTCCAAAAAAATCCTAATGCAAAATATGCATATTGCTTTTTTTTGTAATATACATATCCCTCGTCAATAGGTTATTATTTTAAGAGAAAAAACAATTTTTTATAGAAAATGATCTCCATTAACAATTTATTATGCCCCAAAGTCATAGATGAAATAAAGTCTACTCTAAGCAGTTTTTTGGCAGATTTTCCGTAGAAAACGCTAAAACTAACGTTAGAGTCGATTTTATTTCGATTATAAGTATGCGCTAATAAGTTTCGAAAGATAAAATAATGAAAGTCTTTACATAAATGGTATAAACGATTTAAATGACTTGAACACACTTTTCTACGGCTGTGACACTTTTTTTGCGACTTTCGAAAATTTTTCAGCGGTAACACTGGCCCAACACGTCATGCTACACCGCGCTCCTTCCCCCCTTCCCCCTCTCCCACCGTGTTGTAACGCAAGTAGATTTATATTTTGTATTTGTTGAAATTAAATATTTATATATTCACATATATTTTACGTATCGAGGGCTTATATTCAATAATACCCTCTATCTGCACACTTTTCACAAAGATGAGATTCTGATATAAAAATCGGTGACAGGTAATAAGATCAACGGAAATAAGGTCAATTGACTTTATTTCGCTCCAGCGTGCGAACCTTACCTTTTCAAAAGCGAAATAAAATCCATTCACATTATTGCTCTTTCAAACATTAAATTTGCTTAGCTTTGCTAGCGCCCCGCGCGACCGGCGCACCACACCACGTCACGCTACGCTACATTTTTATATTTGTAAGTCATTGGAAGATTTCTGCTGTGGTTTGTCAATAACTTGTCTGCAGTAAAAAAGTATATAATTTGTGTTTCAAAAGTGTGTAAAAACCAATCAATTAACTTACATGATCTCCGATATTAAATAATCAATAATTGCTTATACCCGCATTTTGCCACATTGGCTTGAATTTGCCATCTAATAAATAGTGTCGTCGTTCTCCTTAGTTGCTTTTAAATGATGTCGTCACAAATTGCTGGCGGAGACATGAATACAGTGTAAGAAACATTCCGAATTCATTAAAAATATGCTATTTATTTTAAATTAATTTGTTTCTTCAATTTAATAGTGTTCGCCTTATTTTTGTGGAAACGAAACATTTTTTGCAAGTTCTGGATCATTTTTACGCTATTTCTGCAAATATTGCTCGTATTCCAGCTGCGTTTTGCGTTTGGTTTTTCGCATCGTGTTTTTACTATATTCGTAATTTTAAATTTTGTAATAAAATCAATTGGTGGTAGTTCATGATTGTGTGTGGATTGATACCACACTGAGGATTTGGCAATAACCTTTTTCATGTATTAAAAAACAACACGTACGGGGCAATGTTTATTGTAAGAAAAACATTTTTTTTCTATGAATCGACATACTTTAAGGCATTGTTGACGCTTTTTCCATTTGAATGGGGAAATAGCGTCAATGGCTTTATTTCCAAATTTTTGCTGACTTTATTTCGCGTTTGAAAAGGCACCACCCTGGAGCGAAATAAAGTCAATTGACCTTATTTCCATTGATCTTGTTACCTGCCACCAGGGCTGGACACTCGCACAGGAAGTGTTCAACTGTCTTTTTTGAGCTTGGGTCATCGCAACTGCGACAGAACCTGTTGAAGGGCAATCTAATCCTTTCGGTATGTACCAGAACGGGCCAGTATCTTGTGTAGTAACTTTGTAGGTATCTTCTTTGCTCATTCCTAAGAGAGCTTTGGTTTTAAGTGGGTCGTAGGACACCCAGAACTGCCGGGTAATCCTGTACGACCCTGTACGGTTTCATTTCTGCTTGGAATTGCTAGTTCCTCTGTTGCCTTGTTTCCACAAAAGAGCCTATTTCCCATGACCCATATTAGGGTGATCAAAGATAAAGGCCCGCTCACTCCTACAGTCCTCTGATAGTTGAGATCTAACAGAGGTGGAAGAGAGTGCCTTAATACCGGCTTGGCCATCCGAGAAGATATTCAGATGAATATTTGGGAAAAAATTACAGGTAATTTCTTTGTCAAGAGATTTCGCACTAAATTTAAATGGTTGTAAATATACTAAAATATGCGCAATTAGAATGCAAAAACAGGTATTTTTGCAAAGTATGCAAAACCACGCATTTACTTCAAAATATGCAAAAACATGCACTAACGATTGAGTGCCATTTTAAAGGAAATTTCATGATTCGTAAAGATAACTTAACCATTTCCATTTGAACATGCATTTGCAAGAGATTCCGAGCCCTAGTAATTAGCAATAGAGAAGCAGATCCATATTAGCTTCAATCATACATATGTACGATCAGCTTATAAATAGATATATGCCATGAGGTGTATCACTATTTCGATTCATTTTTATTTCCTTTCATACTGCAGAAATTTGTATTATTTTTTAACTATATTAGTATTCTTATTCGTGTTCGTGATCGTCTTGGCATTATCTTCGTCTTCGGATTTGTGCATAAGTTAGCTAAAACTATGTTCACATATCAATATTATCTCAATCAAAGCTCGTTTTTTAATCACCCCGTTTACACAGGCAAATCTCAGATTATTAGCCGTCAAATTTCTTGTGTTTGTTATTCTCACATCTCAAGGAAAAGTTATGTTTCTTCTCTGTGTCACCGAGATCACGTTTTTCTGCTATAATAAGCAATATAAATATATTTTAACTTAACATTTTATTAAAAATACCTTTACAAACCTCTTTTACTTGCTAGCGTACATTTTTGTTTACTTTTACATTTGACATTTCTCCTCTCTTTCGCAAAAACAATCGATAAAACTAGGATGGACACCGAAAAGTTATCGGTTAAATCTGAGATTATTTTGTAATTACAGATTAACAAGGGACGAATTTTATATGGCTAATCTCTTGTTATAATTCCAGATTAGGGTGTTAAGCTCGAAAATGAGGATAAGCTACTTACAGTCAGTAAATAAAGTTTAGGTACAGCGAATTTTTTACAATACGGGCAACTATTTTTTAAATATTTTATTTTTCGCAAATTTTTTATAAAAATATGGTTAATTCTACAACAAAAACCCCAAAAAGGAAAGTTCCAAACCTTGTGCAAAATTAAAGAAAATTCTGCAAAATTTCATTCAAATATTGCACTTTTTATTTACGCTCTCTAGAAAAAATTTGAGTATGCAGTTTTTTAGCCCATTCAATTTTAGTATAATAAAGTGCAAGTATGAGGAAGCTAGGACTTACCATTGATTTTTGGAAAATTTTTTTGTTGAAGGTGTCGCACATTTTTTCCATATAAAAAAATTATCAAGCATTATTTTATATGGAGAAAATGATTGACACCTTCAACAAAAAAAAAATTCCTAAAAATCAATGGTAAGTCTAGCCACCACAAACTTGCACTTTGTTATACTGGAATTGAATGGGCTAAAAAACTGCATACCCAACTTCTTTCTAGAGAGCGTAAATAAAAAGT